TTTCTTTCTTTCTTTCTTTCTTTCTTTCTTTCTTTCTTTCTTTCTTTTTCCCTTCCATCCTTCCTTGCTTCTTTTCTTCCTTCCTTCTTATTATTTATCTCTTTCTCTTTCATTTTCTTTCTCTCTTTTGCTGTAGCATTTAGCTATTCCTTTGTGATGCAGATAAGACTACATGGTTAATACTTCCATTCCCAGATGCAGCACAAATCAACATTCTCAATTCTTTCAAGACATATAACTCGGTTCAAAATTTGGCCAACATTTACCAAAGGTGGTAGTCATTTGCCATTTTTGTTCTATAACGTCAAGTTTCTTTCTCTGTTTTGTAAGACACTTTATCGTGAAATAGTAAGAAAAGAGTGAGCAGGCAAACGATGGGCTAAAAAATCTACAAGACACAATACTTTTAGTTGATATATAAAAGTGTAAATAGTTAATATGAAATTGGACCATTCTGCAGCTTTGCTTTGGATGTTTGTATCAGTTGTTATTGACTTCCACGTGAGTGTACAGTAGTCTACAACTATTCCACAGGCCCAGACAGGGTGTAAAAGAAAGGCCATAGGCCTTAAGAGTTGGAACAGACATATACATTTTTATAGTCCACATGCCAGCACATGGAAAGAAGAACTTCATTCTTTCTTCTCTTTTGAAGAGGTGTATGTTACAATAGCCTTTTGGTAGCTTCTGGAGGCTTTAGCAATGGTGAATGATGCAGGGCAGAAATATTCTCAGGGGGATTTTTCTCTTGATGCTATCTCACTTTCTGTAACTCCTGTCTTAGCCAAGCTGGCAGTGGCTGCCCCAGTTTGTGTAATAGCTTAGATAGTTCCACATTGTGATCACGATAGTAGCTTGACAGAAATGTTCTACACTGGGGTTGACGGAGAAGAGAGATCAAAAATACATATTAAAGAAAAGACATTTAATTCCCACTAAGACCTACTCACATGCCTCATTAGGCTAAGGCAGAGTCTGTTTCATTTTTTTTTTCCTTATTTCCTCAGAACCTAGTACTATGAGTAGGTACATATCGAATGGACATTGACTGATTAATCCAAGTATGATGGTTGCCCTGGGTCTTGAAAATAACAACAACAACAACAACCACTTTATATCAGTGTTAATGCCCATTATGTGCCAGGCACTGTGCTAAGTGCTTTTTACAAATATTACCTCATTCGATCCTCACAACAACCTTGAGAAGTAGGTGCTATTATTGTTCCCATTTTACAGATGAGGAAACTGAGGGAAACAAGTGATCTACTTTGATAAATAGTCTATCAGCTATTTCTCTTCATTCACCAGGCCCAAGTATTTTCTATTTTAAGGGAACTTTTTACTTTGGTAAGGTCATACTTATGGCCTTTGTCAATGTCTAGCATGTGAATAATTGATGTAAATACTTAATATAAAATATATTTAATTGAAATGTAAGCTATTACTACTACATGGAATAGAACTTAATTTTTTATATCTAGTATGGCTGTAATTACCTACTTTAGTCTCTTCTTACTTGTGGTTTTTTTTAATGCTGATTCAATTAAATATTTAATAAGGGCCTGCTATGTATTAAACACCATGGCTATAGAAGCTCTGTGACTCCAAATATTAGATTCTATCTAAGCAGAATTTTCATGTGATCAGCCAGTTTATTTTTCCAAGTAAACCCAGTTTATATTTTCATTATATTTATATTATTCTCATTATATTTATATTCCCTTTTCTATCTTCGTGGGAGAATTGATTTCTCTGAAAGTTACGTCAGAATTAAGGCTAAGAAGAGGGTGTTGAAGTTTTTCTGAACTGATATCACCTTTACATTATGTGCCAATGTTCTTCTGTCAGGTAGGAATAGCAAGAACCATATCCTGAAATATATTGCAGGCATTTTCAATTTCCATAAAAATGGAGAAAAGTGTTTTTTTTTTAAATTAAGGATATTTACATTTTCTGCAAACACTGGAAAAATTTATTTTTAGCATTTATAAAATACATGTTTATACGTGTTGCAATATATACATACGTGGAACAAACACACATGTGTGTATATATATATATATGTTTATATGTATTTCATTAATGATTTTGTAGTGAGAAAGGGCCCTCCAGCAATGGAGATCTGTAACTGCTCTTCAACTTAATCATGTCAGAGAGTTGGCTGGGGCACCAAGAGGTTAAGTGACCTGTCCAGGGTTACAAAGCTAGGATATAGTCATCAATGGAATTAAACCCAGGTCATCCTTTTCAAAAATCACAATGTGGTCAAATTTTTGTGTATGGACTTTGCTGAATATTTCTACTGCTTTTCAAGAAAGTGAACTAATATTATTAAGTCCTAAAAAGCCAGGCAATAAAATAAATGGAAATCTTAATATTTGTTGTTGTTGAACAAGCCAACTTGAAGATATACAATGATTATGTCTCATTATTGGGGGATTAGCCCTTTTTGTCTTTGCAGGTATGTTGCTAGGGGTTGGACAACCTCACCAAGACATAATGATTTCCTTCCATTCTCCTTAGTTTATAAATTACTAGATGGTAAGTTTGTTATATGGGATATGAATGGATTCTTTCAGCTCACTTTGACCTGACCTGAGCATACTTTCAAGTATTCTAACAGTAATGTCTGCAGTTTTCTACCAGGCAGCAAAAAGAACTGAAAAAATTCATTTGGTTTTCATTGTGATGGCATTTCTCTTCCAACAATAGACTTCCTCTTTTGGTTTGCAGTTAATTACTTTAAGCCTTAAAATTTCAGGTGAAGACAGTTTTCCTTTAGGAAGGGAATTCTGAGTTACCTCAGAATCAATATCTTCTACTGACCTAACAGGGCAGGTTGTCTGGTTTCCTTAACTTTTCTCAATGATGTGTAACAGAAGAATATTGAAATTAAACAACCAGAGGGGGTTGGCATCCAAGCACCAGTCACGATAAATCATTTTCACTTTGACATAGGCAGAATGCTATTTTAAGTCTTTATTCTGTTATGAGTTAAAACTATATGACTGGGATGGGGGAAGTAGGGAAGAGGTAAAAGGCCATGATGATTCACCATGATGATTCAGAGTCACCTTACCTCAGAATCCATGGGGGGGTACTTCCTTCCTTTGCTCTTCCCAAGGCATTTGGTTTTACCTTCTTCCAACAACTGACACCAGAAACCTTTGTGAGAATCAAATCTGAAACACAGAAGAACTTTATCATCAGCTTGCAGCCTGTGGTGAGAGTATGTGCCTGTGTTCCGGATTTCTACTTCACTAGTGACTGAGTTTGGAAAGAAGTGGAAAGTGTGCTCTGATCACAAAACCACTGGTCTGGTTCCAGCTAGAACTCATTCCTATTAGTTGTTCAAGTATGCTATCAAATCACTTGAGTCTAAGTATGCTATCAAATCAGTTGAGTCTAAGCTTCCTCATCTGAAAAATGTGGATAAAAATGTTTGCACTCATTTTTTCTCATGGGAGTACAATGAAGGAAATGTTTTGTAAGCCCTGGATAGAGCCTTGGAATTGGGATTCATGAAGACCTGGGTCTACCTCAGACACTCACGGTTTGGCCCTGGGCAAGTCATGGAACTTCTTTCAGTTTCCATTTCCTCATGCGTGAAAATGGGAATATAATAACATCTACCCAGAGGATTCCTGCAAGAGCAAATGAAGTGATATAGGCAAAATGCTTAACCAACACTAAAGCACTATGTAAAATTCAGCTATTAGTACTGTTATTGTTATTAGCTGATTGGATACAAATCCATCAAGTCCAAGAGCTAGGAACAAAGGGAAGAAAAAATGCTTCTGGTATGTGGAGAATGGGGTGAGCTTCTAATGGGTGACAAAATGCTTTTAGTAGTTACTGTCACTGTCCTAAGTTTAGTGTAATTTGTTTTTTCCTTCCTCTCTCTCTCTCTCCCTCACTCACTCACTCTCTTTTTCTCTTAGTAGTTTCTGTAATTTTGAGAAGACCATCAGTTACAAAGCAATAATGTCCAGAGATAAGGCCTTTATATTTTAAATAATTCCATTAGAACAAATATTAATGGAATGCCTAATATATTCAAGACATTCTATTAAGTTCTAAAATAATAGAAAAATTAAGTAGCGAAGTTCACTTTCTGAATGGCATCATAAGGGCTAAAAATAATGTATCTAAATTTTTGTCTCCATGCTGCATAAGGTATAAGATAGCCTAAAAGTTAATTGTACCTTATTCAACCCTCCTTCCCCATGAGCATCAAAATGTCAGCATACTTTCTTCTTGTTTATGCCTTTATTCAATTAAATGAGGCAACCACATTTATATCATGTAGATCTTCTGGTAGATATATGATGGAAGTACTGTTAATTCAGAAAAAGGTTCTAAAATAAAATTAACCAATACCCGAGGCACAAGGTTGAATGCTGACAGCAGTAATAAAGTACTGTTTTTGGAAGTTTGCTATTGATTTAATAATTGTCTTCATAACTTTGTTAGCTAACTTCCAAATTGAATCCTGACATATGTCAGATATACATGATTAAAAAAAAAAAACAAAAAAAACCCCAAAAACAAAAACAAAACCTTAGAGTTAAGCTCAGTCAATTGATTCCATAATAAACATCACTGAAACATTCCCCTTAGAAATACACATGTGGTATAAGAAGTCATGAAGGAATGATGACTATAGAATATGACAGTTTCCCTGTACTCTGACACCTTAGACATATCTGGAGTATTGTGAAAAGTTCCAGGAAACAGTTTAAAATACATCGAGCAGCTGGAGAGTGTCCAGAGAGGACAAAAAGGATGATGAAAAGGCTTACTGAATCCATGTCATGTGCATGTCAGTTGAAGGAACTGTGGGTGTTTAGCCCAAACAAAAGATTCTAAGGAACATGATTTCTGTATTCCAGAATCATCTGGAGGAGGGGTGGAGAACCTGTGACCTTAAGGCCACATGTGGCCTTCTAGGTCCTTGGCGTGGCTTTTTGACTGAGTCCAAGTTTTACAGAACAAATCCTTTTAATAAGGGGATTTGTTCTATGAAGTTTGGATTCAATTGAAGTGCTACACTTGAGGACTTAGAGGGCCAAATGTGGCCTCAAGGGGATTCCCCACCCCTGGATTAGATTGTTCTCTCTGGCCCCAGACGGCAGAAGTAGGATCAATGGGTAGCAGGGGTTAATTTAGGCCTGATGTCAGGAAAAACTTCCTAACAATTGGAGTTGTCAACAAGTGGAATGGGTTGCCATAAGAGGTCTTGGGGTCCCACTCCTTGGAGGTCTCAAGCTGAGGTTGGACAGTCACTACTTGGGTATCTTATAGTGTGGATTCCTTTTGTGCATGGGTTAAACAAGATGGTCACTGAAGGCCTTTTTGTTCCAAATTCTGTAATTCTTTGATTTCATAGATGTGTTCCTCTAAGTTAAACTGAACCCCCTCGTCAAAATTAAAATGAAAAAGTAATTGAATGTTTCTCTTCATATTAGTCACATGGGTAAAACTATTTGTGAGATGACTTGAAGCTGAACTAGCATTTCAATAAAAATATTATACCTTGTTCATAGTGTCTTAAGACTGAAAATCAATAGTGATGAATTGCAAATGGCATAGACATTTTTCACCAGCAGCAAGAAGAAAAAAACATCACGTGAATGTTGCTCAGAGAATGCACAAAACGTCTTAGATATCTTTGGGTCCTTAGAGGTATCTAAATGTAGTGGAAAGAATGCTGGCCAAGCTTGGAATTATTAAGGTCTAGGTTCCAATTCTCCTAAGACAGATGTTTGCTTTTTCTGTGACTGATCTTAAATGCAAGGTTAAATGCCTTGCATTTAACCTCTTATGTATTTTAGAACATTCCCTACAACTTGTCTACAGTCTTGGTCTAGGGAGTTCCCCATATTGATAAAACTACAACTCCTTCATTTTTTCTGTGTGTCTTGGCAAACATGCTTCCATGATTTAAAATATTAACATGTTGCTCATGCATTTACTACACACTTCAAAAAAAAAAAAGAAAATCTATTTGACTAACAACATCCATTCTTTGTGATAATTTTCATAACAGATTCCATGAATAACAAAAAACCCAACATTAATAATTAGTATTTATATGGTATTTTAAAGTTTGCAGAACACATAACTGGGTCACAGCTAGAAAGTGTCTGAGCCTGGATTTGAATCCAAGTCTTCCTGACTCCAGGTTCAGTTTGCTATCTAATGTACCACCTATTTGCCTCTAGGTGAAAAAACAAAGTTGAAAATCTAAACTCTAAAACACATTTTAATCCTTAAATAAACCACCTAACAACCATGTAATCAATCAGTCGATCAATTTTAAGACTATATCTCCCTATCTTGCCACAGGGGCTAGCCACAGTCTCACTCTGATTACATGGGAGCCTTGACCTACTCTATTCTGACCTGGGGCAGTTCACTCCTGGTGGCCTCTAGATTTTGAGGGCTCGCCATGTTAGGATTGACCTTCCCTGATCAGTATAGACCACTGCAGCTCAGAACTCCTGAGCACAAGAGATCTGTCAGCCTAACCTCCCTCGCTGGCCAATATTTCAAGCAGGGAGGGCTAGAAGGTAGTTCTTAAGTTGAGTGTTAAACAAAATAAGAGACTGTAAGAGTTGAAAGTAAGAAGCATAATAAATTCTAGGCATGAATGAAAGCCAGAGCAGTGCATGGAGACAGGCAATGGAGCATTGCATCATGTGTAAGGGAAAGCAAGGTGAGTTTGGCTAGACCGTAGAGTGCAGGAAGGAGAGTAATATATACTAAGAAAAATAGGTCAACACAGGGAGCCAGTATTAAAACTTCTAGAACCATATGATTTCACACCAAAATGGCCCTTAGGGAGACAAATTTTCTGCTTTGGCTGTGCTAAAGAAATCTTACTACTAGAGAATAAATTCTGATGAAAATTCTGAGGCTAATGATGAGTATTGAATGTTGTTGTTTAGTCATTTCAGTTGTGTCTGACTCTTCTTGACCCCATTTGTGGTTTTCTTGGCAAAGATAATGGAATGGTTTGCCATTTCCTTCTCTAGCTTGTTTTACAGATGAGGAAACTGAGGCAAACAGGGTTACCAGCTGGTGTCTGAGGCCAGATTTGAACTCAGGAAGATAAGCCTTCCTGACTCCAGGCCTGGCACTGTATCCACTGTGCCACCTCTCTGCCTGAATATTGAATATACTACAGTAAGGATTGTTTCTGTCAGTACTGGTTACAAAAGGTGACCTTCTGAATCCCATCCCCTAGCAGAGCAGACTATGCTGAACTACTGAATTGACCTTCATGAGTAGGAAAAAGGGATATACTGGGGGCCAAGACATTAATGGAACTAGAATGCCTTGAGTTATCTTTCCCATACCACGAATCACTGCTGTTGTAAACCAAGACTCTGAGGAGCAAACCTGGGGAAGTTTGAATTAACTTTATTCCCAGGTAACTGCCCTAGGGTCCCCTGTGGGTTCTTTGGGCAAGGAGGATATATAAATAGTTTTAGGAAAGGATTTCCTGAGACTCCAGGGAACTTCCTTACCAAATGCTCTTATCTGTTTTTACCTTCCTGTGGACTGCTTCATACCACCTGGTAGATTGCTTTTGTTGGGGTATTTGAATGTTTTTTTTTATTATTATTATTGAAGGAATTATTATCAGATCCCTCAAGTTCTGAGATATCCACTTACCATATGTGAAACTAAGACCCGGTTAAGACAGAAGGGTACACACTTAAACAATACTTCCCTGCTTGTACAGAGATTTTTGTCTCATAAGTTATAGTTTATAACTTAAAGTTGTGGTAGTGACTTTTTTTTCAAAAAGTATACATGGTTTCTTTCCCTTCTTAACACTGTCCCACTTGTTTTTTCATGTCCCATTTTTGGTACAGATAAAAGTTTCATTAATTGTTCTGACCTCTGCAGAAGCAGTTTGGAATTTGAGAGGCATTCACTGACTCTTGGTCAATTTCAAACCCATAATGTTAGCAGAAAGGCTTTAATTCATGGTAGCAGAGAACTATAATACCTAGAAGCCTGGCAGTTCTACCTCAAATGTCAGAAGGAGACTAGGTTTTCATCAAAGAAATACTAATTTAAGAACTTTGAGCTCAGTTCTCAAGGTGAAGAAAGCTCCCAAACAATGGAGAAAAAATTTCACAAATGAAATTATCTTGCCCCCCCCAAAAAA